TAAATTTTTGTAAAATTTCGTAAGTTCACGAAGTTACAAGAAAATATAAATCAAGTGATTCATCGTTATGACTTATAATTTGAATAGTGCATTATAAATATTTTAAACTTTCGCAGTACGTAAGAAAATCGTAAACTTATGCAATATGTTTACGCAAATTTACGCTTTTCTTACGATGCGTAAGAAAATCGTAAATTTGCGTAAGCATATAGCGTAAATTTACGCTTTTTTTACGCATCGTAAGAAAAACATAAATTTGCGTAATATGTTTACATAAATTTATGATTTTTTTACAATGCGTAAGAAAAGCGTAAATTTGTGTAAACATATTGTGTAAGTTTACGATTTTCTTACATACCGTAAAATTTATGAAAGTTTACGCTTATATATTTTTGCTGATATAGTCATATAGATAAGAAAAGTAACAAATTTGATAAAAAAAATAGATACAAAAAATTAAATATCTTATAAACAATTAATCAGAATTATATAATTTTGGTACTGTTCGATTCGTCTCAATGAGATAAATTAAACAGTATCAAAATTATATAATTCTGATCAATTGTTTATGAGATATTTAATTTTTTGTATCTATTTTTTTTTGTCAAATTTGTCCTTTTTCTTAGCACCAGCCTATACTACTTATATTATGAATTCTTGTAAAGCATTGTTGGTATAATAAATTATAATATAGCAAAAGTGTAAATAATAGAATATAATTTTGCCATGAATATAGATTGCTATATAAAAAAAAAGAAAAAAATTTTATTAGCAAAATTGTAATCTATATACTACAAAATAGTTTTTCTTAATTTACTTTATATTTTTATAAGATATCCTTCTTTCAAAGATGCATGTTTTTACTTGTACACATCTAACAAGCTATTTTTCATATCAAGATCTTGAAAACTCCAAAAGAATCTTGTAAAAGAAGGTAAAATAATTGCCTATCTTTGAAGGGGTCTTACATTACCTAGTAACATTGGTTTTTCATATTCTTTATATTACTGGATTCATTGAAGCTCTAGCAACCTATTTGTTTAAGTAATGTTATGTGTTGTAACTAGACTTGGAGAGAAAATTTTAAAAATGTGATTTCAGCAATTTGTGTAATTTATAAAAATCATATGATAAAAAATTAGATGTGATTTCTCAATTGACTGTTATTTAAATCTAATTTTATATATGTATAAAAATAGACCCTTTTAGTACAAGACACCTATATTATTATTAAGAATCATCAATTTTATCCAATCAAAAAGGAGTAGCAAAATCCTAAATAATACTAATAAGATATAGTTATTAAACTAGACAAGAGATTTTGAATTTTTGACAGAAGTTATACAGTATTATTAAAAAGACATTTTAATTAAATGTGGGGCTAATGCTGAAAATGGATTATGCTGAAAATTGGAGCCCCTTTTTAAATCTATAAACCCTACTAAAATTTACATATAGTTTTTTATTAATAAATACTACTCCCAAACCCTAACTTAACTATGAAAAAAAAGACCGCCAAAAAGGCCCTAAAAAAATAAAATTTTATAATAAAATATGAAAAATTTTCAGCATAATCCATTTTCAGCATCAGCCCCCACATTAAATCTAGTATTATTACACCGAAATGTGCTTAAAACGGACATGATTTTATTGAAACAAATATCTAATATTATAAAAGAATCCATATACTGTATTATATTTTTCAGAAATTCCGAAAAGTTCCGAAGTAGAAAATGAAATAACCTAAAATACGAAAAACGTTCCAAAATAAAATTATGTTATATAATTAAATGGGTATATAAATCGGAATTTAGAGGGTACAAGACTTAAAATAGACAAAATTTGAGGTCTTAAAGTGACAAAATGTCTGAAAACTTACTATTAACTCAACTCGTGCGTACGTACGTACAGTACGTACCTCTATAGTATTATCCAGGGCCCTGAAGTAGCTTATCGTGATCTTTATCATGTGATCATAAATAGGAATCTAATAAAGGTGGTAATTGCGATTTTTGTCGATCCGTATAGTGTTTATTTAAACTGAAAATAAAGTTTGATTTAATCATATATAAGATTTTGTAATTCTCGTACAAGTTACTTACCAGTTATTTATCAGTTATTTATATGTTTTATATAGTTATTTTATAGTTCGCTCATACGATTAAATCGGTCATTTTTTTTGGCCCAAACTTTATAAATTTTGGACAAATTAAATTAAAATTTAATTTTGACCAGAATTTAGAAAAGTTGGGCCAAAAAATGTTCGGTTTTAGTAATACCACCTTTTTTTTTATCAGGGGCACTGGGTCAGTGTTGGCAATTTTTTGCGACCAAGCAATTTGATCTTTGGCCGGCCAAACTGGCCAAAGACCAATGGGCTAATAGCCAAACTTTGACCCGGATTTCTAATTTATATAATAATAATAGCCAATCTTTTGCTATATAAATACTTGGCCAAATCAGCCAAATAATTTTTTTATACTTTTCGGCCATTAGCCATGGCATTGGCCAGCCAAATGACAATACTGGTCTAGGTGTTGAGAAAAGAAAAGTTTTTTGGCCCCCTATTATAAAATCGCCAATATCCCAAAATTTTACTAGACTCTCGCAATTTTACCCTAACCTTAACCTAACCTTAATCTAACCCTAATTTCTATAGGGGCATGGGGACACTGTCTAGATTTTTCTTAAACTTTATAAAAATCAAATTTTCGCAAAATTTATTTTTTGTTAATTTTGAAATGACCCAATAATAATTAGTCATTGGTAATTTGAGTCATTTGAATTATTTATCGTCACGGTGTTTGTAGAGGCTTTTAGCAACAAAATTTCAATAAAAGAACGTCATGTGTTTTGAAGTCATATGATAAAATTTTAGATAACATCTATTTGATATCAATATCAATATATATATATATATACTGTATAAATTTATCGTTATCCTTTACATTTCTCTATTTCTACTAGTTTATCTGCAAGATGCAAGGGATAAATTTCTAATGGTCATTTACTAAATGATTAACTTTTGATATATACATTTATTTTATACATATATATTTAAGAATTCGTCGGAGTTAGCCTTTTTAGAATAAATTAGGAAAATTGGCAGAATAAGGGACCGGATCTAAATTTTTTTTCATATCGATATCGATCGATATCTTTCTAGATAAAACTGGATTTTTAAAATCTAATAATTAAATAATTAATAACGCCATTCTGCGCCATTATGCATGGAATTTCTAGCTTTTCTAAACTGGATAACTTTAAATGATTATTGTTATAATAGGTGATTGATTACCCACGAGACATACATATATGGATGATATTCAAAAATGGAACCTGAAAAAAAAAAAGATGCGTATCGTATATTAAATGAAGCGCGATTCTATTTGAATAATTTATGATTTTAGTGAAATCTAGTTGGTTAAATTTCAAATGCACTTTTTTTTCTTAATATCGATAATAGCAAAGTACAATGTTGAACTTTCCTTCTTTATCAATGAATCGAACACATCAAAAGTTAATTCGTTCGGCTTTTCAGAACTAATGTTAAATTTATTCCTTAAAAACTTTTTAAAATTATTAACTAACCATTTAATTGGTCTTTTTTTTTTTTTTTTTTTTAAATCTTCGACAGTCTTGCCAGTGCTCAATTTATTGGGACTATATTTCAGGTGAGAGCTAAGCTCTCTCGAACAATACATATATTATGTGCTTGAATAACAGCATTTATATGACAATTTTTTTTTTTTTGATGATTGGTAAAGAGACGAATTCATAAGTAAAAAGTAGCCAAAAAATTATTGTTTTAACACAATCGATATCTAAATAGGAGAAGTTTTTAGATATATGTACAGTATTTCTTGTATCACAAAATATTTTTTTGTAAATCCATATGAAATTAGCAGCTGGACAATAAACTTAATTCGGTTAGATATAGAAGAGCACATTTACGTAATTACAACATAAGACAACTAAACCCTAATTTAATGGTCAGAATTTCGCAGCCGACATTAATCATGAGATCACTGATGATGTGATTCTCTGAAAAACAAATATATACAAATGTATGCAAATTTTGTCTTGCAGACAATGGCATGATGATACTTGGATTGTTTTCGTTAACATGTGGTCATACCTAGGTAGTATAAACAGGAAATATTTTGCGTTTAGTTCCGAATGAAAAAATTTTCTTACCCAATATTTATGGATGTTCAATATTTTATTGGACCAAGAATTTGAAAAGTCATTACTCGTACTGTCTTATAAGCGCATTATTGAAATTCTACCTTATCCCATTGCTGCGCCACTAGTCTTTGTCGATAAATGTACCGATTTGGTCCAAATACAATGGTATATAAAAAATTTCATTATTTGCTGGGGGTTTCCATTATATTTTCTAAAATTAAATAAACGTGAACTAGGAAACCCTGATACCCTGATTACAAATATTATAATCATAGATCTGCGAGGTTACATTAACAAATTTGTTATAAAACCTGATAAAAACATGAATTTCTTGTTCACCAAAAAAAGGTTGATAGTGCCTTCAACATAAATTTGAATTTTTTCTTCGTCAGGTTAATTTTTTGAAATTTACTTAATTAAATTTCCATTCTTTCCCGTGTTGTCTTTTTAACCCTTTGGATTGTTACTTGTTTTATCGATCTTTTTTAATGATATATATATTGTAATTGGATTTCTGTTTTGGCGAGTCCAAAAAAAAACCAGAATTCTATTACTAAAAAGGCAATCCTGAATTGTTATTAAAAAAAAAAATTTCTTTTTTCACGACACAGGAAAAACGAATTCTTTTTGGTGTTTATATTCAATTGGCAAGACGATAAATTCCTTGCTTTAAATTAAACATCGTAAAAAAACAAACCGACCAAATTCTTCATTACATCATATAAATATCGACTTCACAATAAATACTTCATAAATACTTCATAATAAAAAAATATATATTTTTTTAAAATTCCGACATCAATTAAAAAACAATGTACGATAAAGAACCAACACCATTTGAAATTCAACAAATTATAGCAGAACCTTCTGGTTCAACAAATTCTTCAAATAAAACCCTTAAGGAGGATGTAGTTAATGTAATTGATAATAATGAATATCTTGACGTACCTCAAACTCGTCCTCGAAAAGATAATGGAACTGCAACAACTTTTAATAGGTTATCAGATCGATATACCTTTTCATTTTCTGCAGATTTAATTTCACAGGTTTGTTAATGTTATAAAATGCAAATGAACTGTCGACTTTAAAAAATTTTTTATTCGTAAATATTTAAATGATTTTTATAACAGTTTGATAGGTATCGCGCACAAATGCGTGAAAGTATACGTCATGAATTAGAAGAAGAAAATCGAGAAATGGTAAGTGATAACATTCATCTCGTAATGTGGATGAATAATTAATTGATACATGTTAAACATGTTAAACATGTTAATTAAAAAGCACGTTAATTGAAAACATGTTAATTTAAGCGTGTTGTTAATTAAACGTGTTAATTAAACATGTTAATTAAGCATGTTAATTAAGCATGCTAATTGAAAGCATGTTGTTAATTAAACGTGTTAATTTAAACATGTTAATCTAAACATGTTAATCTATGGTTTTACTGAAATAAAAATATTAATTAGCCAATTTAATACATAGAAAGAACAAGAATTAGAAACTTTAGAAACTTTAGAAACTGCAATAAATGATGAGGAAGGAACTTTTAGCGTTCACCAAGTACATCATTCTCCTTTTGGGTCAAATATGTATTCACAAGGCTCAACGAGCCGAGATATTGACAGTGCACCAAAATCTTGTTTACCAAAATCAAAATCAAAGAAACCATTAATATTCTCCTTCTTAAGAGGGCGAACAAAATCACGACATATTACAACTTCAGATATGGACAATCAATCTGTGTCTGGAATTGAACCTTCTGTAATTGATATTGAAGACATTACAATGTCAAATGAATCAGATTTACGGCAATCTTCACATCGAGCGAAACCCAGTTTAACTAAAAGATTTATAAAGGGGATAAAAAAACTTGTGACTTGTTCGTAAAAATCAAAAAAATATATTATTTATTCTTTTTTGTTCAAATTCTATTTAATATTAGAATTATCATTTGGCAAATTTTTCCGGCAAATTCTTTGGCATATATTTAATCAAATAGATACGGAAATATTTTGCGGTTATAATTCAAAAACAACCCCCCCCCCCAAAAAAAAAAAAATCATCTTTTTTTTTAAAAAAAAAAAAACCGCAATGTTTAAATTTTTTTTTTTTTTTTTTGTATGTAAAATATTGCTATTTATTTTTAATTTCAATTACTGTATTCTTTTTAGTTATTTAATTTTTATATTTTTAGGCAGGATCCAAAAATTTTTCATTAACTCAATTACACCAATTTACCATTTTTTTGTTTCAATTTCGTATTTCATTACGAATTACCATACACTTTTCATTTTCATGGTTATTAATTTGGCAAAATCAATTATCATCAAAATCCAATACTGTAATCTATTTTAAATAGTCTCATTTAACTGGGGTGGGTCGTGAGCGTGGGTCATGGGAGTGGAAGTGGCGAATCAAAAAAAAAAACGAAAAATATTGATGTATTTTTAATTTGTACCTAGTCATTTGTTCTATATTTCATCATGTGACAAATCACAAACACACTTTAATATAAAAATCAAAAGGCGAATTTCGCCAGAATATTAAAGATATCAATCTTTTTTTTGATATATCAATATTGATTATATGCGCTTTGTGGAAATAGAGGTTACGTAATTGCAGTCAGATTATAATTATTTAGGACCGTTCCAATAATTTATGAATGCTACACTGGCTAACCAATATTTTTATACGTATTCAAGTATTGCAGGACAGTGTGTATAATTATTTAAAATTATATATCACCAATTAAAAACGAGCCAAGCTTCGAAACTATTCTAATTGATTGTTCTATGAAAAACTCGTGCTAAGCTGCATCAATTGCCATTCAAGTTATTTTTTATATTTTTTATATTTTTTATACAATAGTTGCAAATACGTATTTCATTCATGTATTTGCTAAAATATTTAGCTATTACAGTAATAATTTTCACAAAGTACGTATGATATGTCATTACCTGTTACTAATAAATTTACGTGCCACTTTACATTATCATTATCTGCTATATCAATAATTTTACGTACAAATTTATTTTATTAAAAGTTAAACGCAATTCTTTACGAGTTTTTATAATTCATTCACAATGCCAAAACATCTATCGTTCATTAATTCTTGTATGCATTTTTCATTCCCAAACATCAACACCTTTTTCATTCTCTCAGTATCTTTTAACTCTTCCCACCTACTATGAATATACATTAATGCTTGATCTTTTAACCAATAATTATCCGTTGCCCAACCAAGCAACAATACATCATCCCAATTATCTTTATTTACCATTTCTAATACACGTGATATAATGACTTTCGCCAATTCATCTATTTCTCTCATATCAGCTTCTGCATAAATTTTTACTAATGTATCAAATGTTAATCCATCTTCAAGAATTCCTGTATATAAAAAGTAAACTATAATTTTAAAAATCTTATATTCAACATCTTTAATACGAATAGCTAAAGATTTTGATTCAATCCATTCCCCATTAAACATAGTTTTAAAATAAATTGATCTTGAAGCTAAAACAAGTCTTGATACATAAAGTTGTGATCCACAATCGAATTTAAATATTACATCACTAAATTTTTCATTATCAAAATATTCTTCTAATCTCGGTCCAAATTTTAATGAAATATCAATTTTAAGTATTTCTAAATCATAATTAATTGCTGAATAATTTTCATCAAAATAATGTACTCGAATTATTAAATCTACTTTTTCCATTCTTATTAAATTAAATTTTGAATCAAGGTTATTAGGAAATATAGTTTCAAATTCACAAAATTTTACACTTCCCCATGTTGGTTCTTTATCATTATTAAATATAAATTGTTTTTCTAATACGTTTCTATAACAATTTAACCTTGATAATCCTGTTGTTACAGTGGAATTTGTTGACTTTCTTGAATTTTTAGGTTTTTCAATTTCATTATTCATTCTAAGTATTTCAAATCTCCATCTTGAAGTTCTTGTTTTTATATTATTTTCTTTCTCAAATTGACTTTGTATTGCTGAAAGATAGAGTGAAATATGTGTCTTTACTTTTTTAGATCGATGTCCATGGGGATAGAGTAACAATCGCCATTTATGTTCAATTTTATTAGTAGGAATTGTAAATGATGTATTTTCGATAGTTTCTATTAAATTTTCGTTGGTACCAACTTGTTCATTCGTTGAAGGTGAAGTAAAAGGATCACTATAATAATATTCAAGACATTTTTGATCATAAAGATCCTGAAAATTTTTAACAATCCAAGTATAAGTAAAAGGTCCACTTGTATTAACTGATGTTCGTTCAGTTTCTCGTTGATAATGCGAGGAACCAATACGATTGCCTTTATTACTAATACTTGTTTTTCTTATAAGTTTTTTTAATTTATCCATTGTTTAAATGATTTTTTTTTGTTTTTATGACTATCTCGATGACTATCTCGATTCTTTTTTTTTTTTTCACTATATATATATATACTATATATACTAGTGTTGTACCTAATGGACCTAGTGATAAAAGGGGTTATTTTTCAGTCAAATCGGAATTTAACAATATATACTGGCTATTCTGTAAACAGAATATTAACGTTAAAACGGTCTAGCAATAGCACGAGGATTTACTAAATTAGCAGAGATCTTCTAACTAATGAAAAAATAATTATTTACCTAATAATGGATTCGATCACACAAAAAAAAATGTGGGCTAAAATTATCATTCTGTTATACGTAGTATATATTCAGTATGATTAAAAAAAAAATAAAATATGAACATACTTATGGAATATAAATCGAGATAATATTGATCTATTTTCCGTTTCATAAATGATTATCAAAAATAAATAATTCTTTTTGAATTTAACGAATTAGATATTTGGTAACACAAACTTTTTTTTTTGTTTATTAGTAACCTGAATTTGAGATACTGTACAAATTTAAAAAATTTTATAGATACGTATCATAAATGAGTAACTTAAATATAGGCACAAATAAAGGTATATGACCTGGTAATCCAAATGCGCGTAACTATAAAAAAATTTGGATGTTATAATGAAATTATTGTATATAATTAAACCAAAAAAGAAAAAAAAAAATTATTTATAAGTAAAAAAAGCATATCTATTTATATTCGAAATTATATATTTAAAAAAGACCTGCTATAATAAAAAATTTAAATTTAAAATCTTATTTTATTTTTCTGATTTTATAATTCAGTATACGTAGTAAAAGTGCCATTGAAAAAATCCTACTTATTTTCGAAATGCTCCACTTATTTACTAATTTTGAAACACTTAATTTTTATTAATTAATATAAATGATACACAGGAAAAATCTGTAGATAAATATTTAACTTTTAACTAAGAAATTCTTAATATTTACTTGTAATACTGTATTTACTTATTAAAATCACATATGCAACGGTTTTCTGATCTTTTTTTTATCATGTATCACTCATAAATCACAACACTGATTGTATATGTGATTTAATACATACAATATCACAGGTTAAATCAATGAATATCGGGTACATGCCTACAGGAGCGACCGTCGATGTTACACGACTGACTTTTCACCCGGTGTGCAACATATAAAAAAACTATTTTACA